TCCATCAATGAGGTCTCAGTAGTGTTTTTATAGGGCCGTCTACTGTCTTTGATATTTATTATTGTAGGAGTGTGGGTGACTGTAGAAACGTTGTTTCCAATTTCCGGCTGAAATTCCGATGTAAGCTTTTTTCTGATTTACATTTTCATTTGAAAAAATAGTAGCTTCATATGCAACATTTTCCGAAGTGCAAATCCCTCCTACTGGACAACACTACAGTTACACGATGGTTTGTTCCTCCGGGCTTCACTGTCATGAAATTTTCTTAAGATATGGTTGTTCTGGGAATTGATTATATTTTCTACGTTACCAACATAAGACTGATTTTTAAGGTTTTTCTGTTGAATATTTTCTTCAAAGTTTTACTATTAATAATAAAGTGTCTGTCTATTAATTTTAAAATATATTTGTCAATATTAATGTTGGATAACCTACAGAATGGTGGGTTAAACCATATTATCTTCCTTTTTTCTATTTTTAGATTTGTTAGGTGTATCGTTTCTCAGATTTTGATGGTAATTTAACTCTTGTGTAAAATTACTTTTTCTCAGGGCCTGATTCCATGTGATTTTATGTTCATTAAAACTTCTTTTTAGATGATAACTTATTGATTCTAGTATTGACGATGTTAGGAATATGTTGTAAAATTGATTTCGGGTGATTCACAGAATCAGCAATACATACAAAAAAGATAATTATAATTGTTACACCGGCCTCTAACACAAGGGAATTACACCGGTTCTCACTATATATATAGTGTCAGTAGTACCTACCCGTAGTAGCAGCGACAGTACTACACTGCCTAACTGAGTAGTACCCGTTTCCTACCTTTGTATCTGTGATGTTAAATACACTTGTTCCTTAACCCAACTTCGACTTGATTTTCTTATTTTTACTATTGTGCGGGACACAACAATAATAACACAATTTCCTCAATAGAGAGAGACACTGCCAAATTTGCCAACAAATTTAATATAGCTAACAGAGGGGAAACAACCCTTCCTACTCTATGTACTTAAATTAAAATACAACTTCCGCTAATCTTGTTTTTCATTTTATTTTTCGGTTGGAAAGGATTTTTGTATCCACACATTGTTTTAAAGCTGCAAGGTCTGATGAACCAAAACAGAACTTTCTCGGTCTCGCGAAATATAAAATATTACAATGGCTTTCTGAAGTCACTGATTTGTTAATCAGTTTACTACACTGAACACTCGGGATTTATACCTTCCTTGGAATTATCCATAGAAATTACCATATTAATATATATATATATATATATATATATAATTATTTTTATAAAAAAATTTATAACATAAGTATGTTATAAAATCACTACAAAAATAGCCATTTTGTTTATATATATATATATGTGTGTGTGTGTGTGTGTGTGTGTGTGTGTGTGTGTGTGTGTGTGTGTATTTAGGCAGAACATCATAATTCAACTATGATAGATTGAATAATCTGGACATATTACGTCTATTTATTTTATTTTAATCCTCACGAATTCTCTGATCGACTTCGTAATGTTGATATTAATTTCATTAAGGAAGGCACTGCACTTTTTTCATTTCTTTTATTTTCCCAAGTACTTTCAATCTCATCTGAGATCATCTTCAGGGGTAAATCACAAAGAAAAAAATCAATGTAATTTATAGCTGTGAAAAGTCTGTGTATATAAATATAATTATTTGTCTGACGATCGCAAAAGCGTGAAACCCAGGGTCACAAACTCACATCTATCCAACCAAATATATATATATATATATATATATATATATATATATATATATATATATATAACTATATAACAATTTGAAAATGTGTTCGTGTTGCGTCAGAGTGATGCTTACGCTGACGCCACTACACATTCTCATGAAAGAAAGGAGAACCATTTATTATCGCTTTTTCCAGTATCGGCGGAGATTTCCTTCTTAACCTTTCGTGTAATTGTCTGGAACGTCGATACAATGATTATGTCATTATTTTCCCTCCTAGTTACACTTGCTATACGTTTTAGTTGTTTGCGTTGTTGAAAGTCCTCAAGGGTTTTGATTATTTTGTACAGTTCTTTGTTTCTTATTCCATAGCGCCAGTCGACACTTTTTGAAGAACAATTGTCCTCGTTAAAACGTACAGACCTTGTTTACTCTAAGCCATTTTTAAAAGACTGTTTGTAAAAAAAGCTCACAGGTTAGATATTTCTGAAGATTTTTTGGTACCATGCATAACATCCATATGAAACCCTCGAACTGATGAGCCTGTTTAAGGACACGGGTCAAATGTTTCCCACAAAGACGCGGGCTAAACACTAAAAATGTAATGATATTTAATTATAAAATTACATTTTATTTTGCTTAAAACAGCCAGTTATGTGCTATGTGTGATACACCCTGACGAGGCAGATTTTTTACCGCGATAGGTTGCCATTTCTTTCTGCGGTAGACCAGTTGCCATCCAAGGCTATAGAACCTGGTCTGCCCTGATATTTACCCATAGCTGAGGGGGAGAAGAGGATTCATACCTTTACCAAGGGTATTAGCACGTAAGTGAATGTAATGGATTCGACTGGAATTCGAACTTGGCTCTTTGATTTCTCAATTCGAACGTCTATTCATTAGTCCACAGTATGTTATTTTTGAAATTCTTGCTTTCTTCCAGATTATGAACAGATAGCAACTTTTATTTGCAATTATAAAATCTGTGGTCAAAGAATATTTGCTAACATCACGAACTTTGTGCTGTCTCCTTGACCAAAGAAGAGCCATGATGCGAGTACCTGTGTCATTTCGAGGCAATGTCATCCAGATTTTAGAATCCATAAGTGGTAAGTTCATTCTGCAAACGTTAATAGCTTCTGCTATTCTTCGATTGTATTCTCCGACGAGGAAGCTGCCCTGCTACATATCAGGCATCCGCTAGCGGCGTTGCAGTCGCTTCCGACACCGAAGCGATCCAGTTCTGCTGAGAACGCAATGGGACGGGTGTCTCCATGACATCGGAGAGAATCGGGCTTGGCATATGCCAATCTCAGAAAAGGATCGATTTGATTGCATTCGGATCGATTACGAGATTGGAAAACGAGAAAGACGAAGAAGAAATCACAAGGGAAACGAAATGGAAAGAACCAAATGGCGAGGCGCGATCGAGTGAGAAAATATTGATTTCGAGAAGGAAGAAAAGAGCATCAAAAGTCATTGCTTAGCAAAGGTAGACAGGTCAAGACACACACGCATACATAGAAACACAAATACAGAGCCAGATATACCGGAATTCAGACAGGTAGATAGATAATGATTTATTTGGTTAAAATAAGGTTTTATTTATAGTCATTGTTTTGGCTAATTATATGAACGCTTTTTTTACCAGATTGTATTAGCTTTTCTTTTCTCTGGCTTCTTCGAAATACATCATTTTTTATCTGTCTATATCTCTGAAATGAGGTATTAAATTTCTCCTCCATGGAGTGGATGTAGGTTCGAATCCTTTTGGAGGGCTAATTTTCTTTATGTTAAGCGTACGTCTACTCAAATACGGGTGTTTACTTAGTAAGTAATAAATGTAGGTATGTTTCCATATGCCTGTAAAGAGGGAGAACATCGACTAGAGAAAGCCCTCTATTTACATTATTTTCGTTATTCGGGCTGCTATCCTCATTTTTATTGTCATATTCACAACGTTTTGGGTTTGTTAGATGCACTTACGCAAAAATGCCCTTGGGATCTTTTCTCTTCCCAATCTATGGGTTAATTAGTAGGACTTATAGTCTCGCGTTAAATAACCTGCAAAAGGTCGATAAGCCGGGAAACACAAGCAAATTTATTCTTGCCTACTTACACCCTTGTGCAAATTAATTCAAACAACCGTTTTAGTTTCCTTTCTTTCACCATACGGTCAGTTTTAGACTAACAGGAGTGATATAGTGTAATCGATTTCTATTGTTCCTTAGATTAGGTAATTTGTAGTGGTGTGCAGTAATATCAATACATTTTTGGGGTGTATGATGTAATTTGTTTGGCCTTGAAAAATATTGCATCGTCCATGATTACATCATATTTTATCACGCCCAGACACTATTTTCTTGATTGTCGATTAGTTGTCCTACGGCCATTGTCTGCGACAAACTTACTCTAAGGAATCGCATGAAAATTGTAACGCTGCACGAACAAGCGTTACCATTGAGCAAATCAAAGTACTATACTCTGGCCCGTAAACTCTTGATTTAAATCCAGTTGAGAATCTGTGGTCAATCTGCAAGGTAAGACTTCGTGGAATGGACATACGAAGTATTAACATATGCACTGGGTCATGTTTCGTTGAAAAAATACCAAAAAATAGTACGGAATTATTCGTAGGGCGTATGATTAAAAATAGCTTCAAGCGAATGTAGTCTGTATGCCTGAGGGTTGAGCATATTTCTTTGAACTCCATGGAATAGCGCTACACGATCACAAAGCCGTGAAACACAAGCCAATTTATTCTTGACTACTTACATATATCTTTTTAACTATTCTTTTATGTCATATTCTTCAGTTGAATTTTTAAATATTTTTAGCTGCATTTTACTCATTTTTTCTTTTTACTTATATTAGAATGAAATAATAGAACAAGTTCAGAAGGTAATTTCTTCGTCATTGTTTATATTATGTTTTATTTTTCTTCATATTTTATTTCACCTTTTCTTTCTGTCTTTTTTCTTAGATTCTAAATATTCTTTCTTGCCACTTCTCTATCAACTATTCTCTCTCGTTTACATCTGAAACACACTAGGATACTTCCACGTACACCCCTTCTCTTCTGCCTACAGTTAACTTTTAATTTTCGCAGATTTAGACTACCTACTTTCACTTTCACTTTCACTTTCATTTTCCTGCGCTTCTTTTCCCGCTTTTTCCTAAAAAAAAAAAAAAGAAAAAGGAGAAAACAAATCATATCGAACGCCCCCGTTCATTGACACGGATGGGTGCACAGGCCTTTCCGCCAATTAATGAAACTCAACCATGCAATTAAACGACTTGCGCATTCGTTACTTCTCCCTGATCAAGTGGCCCCCGTGTATCATCTATAATAAGTCACTCACTCGACCCAACTGGCGACCTCAAACATCGACGTACGATCAGCGGTGAGAACGGGGTAAGAGGATGGAGGGTTGGTGGGCAAATAGCGGTGTTCAATTAAATCGAATACCGCCAATGTTGAGGCACATGGGCACACATGCACGCTCGAACGCAGTCAACCACATGTGTGCAGTTCAATCCAAGGGTGAAATAAAAAAAAAACAAGAGAGGAAAAATGTAGAAAAAAAAAACTGTCGAAATTCAAAAAAAAAAAAAATAAAAATACAGGAAATAAACGACGCGCTGTATTAAACCGCTGGACGATGTGTTTGGAACGACTCAGAAAAACAGTATCAAGATTGGTGCTGGTATGGAAGGTGCGTCACTGAAATCCGAAGATGTATTGGGATGGCCAAAGAAGCATTCCAAAAGCTAAGCAGAGTAAACCTCTGCTTAGATTTTGGAATAGAGAATAACTTCGGTAGTAGCAAAGACAAAGAGTACTGAAGTGTTAAGTTATATGTCCTCCTATATGGCAGTGAATCGCCTCAAAGCTGAAGAAGAGACTTGAAACAACAAAAATGTGGTTCTACAGAAGGATGCTGAGGATACCACGCAAAGAACAAGTGAGCAACGACGAGGTTTTAGAGAAACAAAAGAAAACTTATACTTAACACTAGGAAGAGACAGTTGAAATTTCTGGGGCACGTATGAAGAAAGAGGGATTAGAAAATCTGATATTCACGGGACAGATTGAGGGAAGGCGGGACAAAAGAAAAGAAGGCATAACATACTTCTCGCTTCTGAAAATCTCTTCCGGCTTCTTGCTTCCCAGTCAAAGTTGATCTTCGAAAATGTTAAATGCAATAGCAATCGCTATCTTCTTAATTCTTATACTTTTATTGTCTGCTCTCCTTAATAGCAGTTTTTCGTATATATTCTAGTCTCTTGCGTCCTAGTGGCTTTATTGCCTTGCTTGCGGTGAAATGATTCAAAAAATTACTTGACGTGCTTGAGTAAATGTATGGCGGAATAGGGTTTAGGAGAAATAACAAAAATACAAAATTTATTAAGCTTTACAAAAGACAGGGAAGTGTGGAGAGCCATGATCACCGAAGTCCGGAAGGGACAGGGCACATAGAAGAAGAAGAAGAAGAAGAAGAAGAAGAAGAAGAAGAAGAAGAAGAAGAATGAGCTTGAGTAGATATATGACGGAACAAGGTTTAGAAAAAATAAAAAAACAAAATTTATTAAGAGCTACAATGGAAAGAAAAGTGTGGAGAGCCATGATCACCTAAGTTCTTAAGGGACACGACAAACAGAAGAAGAAGAATGAGCTTGAGTAAATGGATGGCGGAACAAGGTTTAGGAGTATCAACGAAAAGTCTAAATTTATTAAGAGCTACAATGGACAGGGAACGTCCTGGGGGAACACGTCATATAAAAAAGAAAAAAAGCTTTGCTAGCATGACATTTTCATTAATAATGATGACAGTTTTTTTGTTGTTGTTTTTTTTTTAGTTTTTTTTTATTTTAGGTTGCTTCGCCAAATGCTTGCTATTCCGTATCCATATTTCTATATAAAGTAATGACTGCGAAAATACACATGGCACTCCGATTCTCTTAACCTTTTATTTGAAAGCTTTCTAAATACATAAGCCGTATAAAATGAAATACAATGATCAAGCGAAACATTTATTGATTCAGTATTATTAATATTTTATTGATTCAGTAATATTAATAATAATTGTTGATTTCAATTTTGTCACTAAATGGAGAAAAAAGCACTGTAATCTAAATAAATAGACGGTAAATTCTGTCTGTCCGTTCGTGTGTCTGAAACCTCGGGATTGGAAATCTTCCCTTCATCCGCTGCTGAAATATCCAGCTTTGGAATTTGTGTTCAGATAAGGTGAGAACAGTTAAAAATTCATATCTAGCTAGCTAGCTAAATAAATAAAGAAAGAAACTGCAAATTTTATTTGTCCATCTGTGTGACTCAAACCACCCTCGCTCGGGTCAAACTTGCTCTACATTAACATATTATAATTTTTTTTGGAATCAGGATGATCCGGGGATTGAAAATCTGTCCTTAAACCGGTACTTGACAATCCAATTTTGGGATTTGTGTCCGGATGAGAAGGGAACAGTTAAAAATTCAAATGTTAAAATAACTGAAAAAAATTATTGATTTTAAACTTTTTAAAGTTATATTAATTTTAAAGTATCACAAAAGTTTGTGATAATTTAAATAATTTTGTTTTAAATTCAGTTTAAAATATCTCCAAATCTTTGTGAATTGAAGAAATCAATTTCATTTCTTCAAAATGTTAAGGAATCAGAGTTAAAGTGAGTTTTTTTGATGTGATGTTTTCATGTTCCCCAGAGTTTGTGATATGAAGAACTCGATTTTCGGCCTGAATCGTCTTTCGGCCCAAATCGGTCTATTGGCAGGAGTTGGACATCTCGTATCAGAGTTAAAGTGGGGTTTGCAAATCCATGGAGTCACCTGAGGAATTCAACGTTATTTCTTGAAAATTACCATTCCTGTTTTCTAAGCTGAACCAGAGGTCGCTTTAGTTTTGAACTGGAGACCCAATTAACCTAGGCTATATGTGCGCACAGAGCGTAGCTTTTAAGCTAGTTATACAATAAATGTAAATCATATTTATTTCACGTAATAATGCTTCTTTAAAATGGGTGACAGAAAGTGGTCTGGTAGAAGTAGCAGATGGAAGGAACCTGTTGAGGACATGGCACATGAGAAGAAGAATTACCATGAAACATTTAATTATTATAAAACAACGGATATATATATATATATATATATATATATATATATATATATATATATATATATATATATATATATATATATATATATATATATATATATATATATATATATATATATATATATATGTATATATATGTCACTCAGAAAATTTGAAAAGTAATATTGTACACACAAGGAAGTAACCAACATTATTAGGTTGTAACATGGCTTTGCGGCATGGTGGATTAATGAATAGCGGCTCGGATTGAGGAATCGGATAGCCGAGTTCGAATTCCAGTCGAATCCATTACATTCACTTGCTAATACCCTTGGGATATAGCAGGACAAACCGGGTTCTATAGCCTTGGATAGCAAGTGATCTACCGTAGAAAGAAATGGAAACCTACTACAGGAGAAAAAATCTACCTCGTAATATATATATATAGTTGGGTTGATGTGAGTTTGTCATAAACAAACTTACATCAAGACATCTAAATATGTTAGCTCTATCACTGATATTGAGTACTTTCCAATAAGTACCACGCAAATAAATATATATATATATATATATATATATATATATATATATATATATATATATATATATATATATATATATACACACACATTTTATACATATATAGAGAGAGATAGATCGATAGATAGATATGAAAAGAAGACATACATATAGGGCTAGATAGATCGATAGATAGATAGATAGATAGATAGCGATATAGGTAGATAGCAGAGTTCTATGTTTTTATAAAAATATTGGAGTATTCCAGTAATATATATTTAATCATTTCTAAGTTGCACGTTTCAGAGCTTAATCTAACAATTGGCCAATTATGCTTTTACATTATTTGGACAATTTTGCTGTTACACCCGGTGTATAAATTTATTTCTCTCTCAGTCCCATAGTTATAACTTTAGCTTATGTAATATATTTTTATTCGTGGGAATATATTGTAGCTATCTTTGAAGAATAAAACTCTATTATTCCATTGCTGTGTTTACGCAACATATATATTATAATCTTCGATTCAATGAATCATTATATTTTCACACCAAGTTTTGGTTTAATTTATATTATTATATTGTATTATTTACATAATTTTAATTCTATAAGTATTTTTGTATTGGTTTGTGTGTAAACTATCAACAAGAAGACTATCTATTTTCATAAATCTGAAATGACTAAAGCACGAGTAAACAAACCGAGGGTCTATCCGCGCAGTGTGTGGGTGGGTAGTGAGAAAATATACAACATATTTAGAAAACGCCTTCATCCATGGTTTGTGAGTGAAATTGGGTAGATGGAACTATTTGGGAGTTGTCTGTGGTTGAGCTAACACAAAGTCACAATTCATCCTGACAGAGGAGGTAAGCCTACTGGCATTGTTCAGGCTGTTGATCCCGGCAAATAACGAGCTCCCCGTCGGAAATAGTAACTAAGATCCGCTCAGAATATTTGGTCAAATGTGACTGAACAGGCCTCTTCAACAGTGATTGGCTAATCGCCCAATTTGAGAGGAATACTCGAATAGGTAATATAAGAGGGCAGTGTATGCTGGACAATCTCTCCACACACGAAGAAAACTTTAGGCAACGGAAATTTGCTTCCATAGAAGAATGCCATGAATACCATCATCTGAACGTGTGATCAGAAATGTAAACAAAAGGTCACTTAATGAGAAAAGAGGCGTTGAACAATTCAAAACACTCAAGAAATGCTGAAAGCAAGAATGAGAAAAGAAAACAACGTATAAAATACCGAGAGTAAATTATTGACAGAACAGATATCAGGATCGAAAAAACTTTGGAAAGACCTACAAGGTACGGTAACATGCACAGAACTATTACCACTTACGTCCTGAATGTAGTATGGCAAACAGAAAATGTGTTTTCTGCTTTTGAGGTATTCGCAAGTTTGTAATTAAGGACGCTGAGTTTTTGAGGTTGCCGTACTTACTCCTCCTTAAAAATCGAAACAGCCCACGTTAAACCGACCAATGCGTCATATGTTGCCACTAAAAGGGTGTTGGTAAATATCGAATAACTTTTTATATAATTTCGTGTCGTCTAAATAGGCAAGTAAGCAATTCGTTTGTAAGTGTTAAAAAATTGATATTAATAAATATTTTAAGCTAGCTCCTGCGGAGGGTTCTTTGATTGGACCTTCATCACAATAGGTAGAGAGAAGTAGATACGAATAAACTACAGAACTCAAAATTGATATCTGCAATTAAGTATTGCATTAATATTTAAGCTTACCTTTGAAAAGTTCAACGATAAGTCTTCTGCCGCCACTTAATTTAAAGACAATTTGATGTACGTAGGTCCTTATTTTCCGTGCAAACAATTATTTTTATTTCGGGGATGGCTTTCGCTGGATTTCGCAATTAATTTCGATTATTCCTAAATTTATTTCCAAGTTAGAAAAATTGTTATCGTACAGAAAAATTCGTCGCAAAAATCACGTAAAAATCGCCGAAAAAAATCAAATAACGAAAACTTGGGAATCCAAAATTTCAGGATTGCGTGTCCGGATCCTGCCTGGAATGATTTTAATTTCTTCACGGATTTGGCCTGACTTCAAGACGAAATGATATGTTGAGTTACGGCCTCCAGAAGTAAACTTAAAATGTGACACAGTGACACACTTCAATTCGCATTTATTATATAGAAGGAAATTTTTTTTAAATTTCTCTTCTGAAACAGTGAATTTTATTTTGGATTTTGCGATTTATCTGAAGAGAACCAACTTTGCTTGATGATTGGATAAAAAGTGAGAAGACATTTTTTACAAATTTAAAAGAAAATGATTGGCTAATATTCAATTTGGTGTGTTTGTTTTCTTTCTTCTGTTTGTTGGTCTCAGTTTTTTATTCTTTACTGTTATCCAAATTACCATAATATATATATATATATATATATATATATATATATATATATATATGGTTATCCACAGACAGACTGTTTAGGTGTGTCACGTCTCTTCTGTATGGCTAGACGTCTGATTGCTAAAAGCCGAGATCGAAATCAGACCGATTTGATATTAGTCAAGGATTCTACCCCTAGATTATCGCCGCAGAGTAGAGGAGAAGGTAAATTTTAACGTTTCCTATGCGAAATACGTCAGTGGCACGGGGAGCTCAATTCAATTCGGTTGAAGAGCAATCAATTAATAGCGGTATAAGCCACAGTTTTAAAAATTACATTTTTCTCAAGATATATATATATATATCTATATATATATATTGTTTAAAAATATGCTTCCTTCGCTACATAAGAGTTCTCATGTTTCAAAAACGAGAGCCGAAACCATACAAATAATTATTAAAATTAAGTTGAATTGTGGTGTTTAGTCCCGTTTCATCTTCAAGCGAAATTTTAAACTATCTCTCGGTTTACGTGTGCTTTTAGGCATGGTTCGTTACAGAATTCGTTATTGTGGGAGTGGCTAGACTATTTTCCTTCGTTAATTCTTATCAATAGATTCATCATCTTCTGAGAGGTTTTGCTAAGGTTGGGTGGTGTATCTATTTCAAGGCTAATGTTTGCGGTCACCCTTTAGTTGGTTCCCAGTGAGGGATATTTTTATGGCGCATTGGCGAATTGTCTTTTATTATTGTCCATCTGATTATCTATTTATTTATTTGTTTATTCAAGTGAGTGTTTTATATACAGATCGTATTGCACTGAATTTCAATTTGTATTATTTTTGTATTTTTTTTGGGGGGGGGGCTTTTTTTTTTTTTTTGACGACTACAAAAAGGGTTTTTCCTATTTAATGATTTGGCTAAGCTTTTAAGAATTTTATTTAGCTATGGGATTATTTTTTTTTTATATCCCAGGTTTTACAAGTTCTTGTTTTATTTAGTATTTTCCATTTTACTTTTGGTGTTTTATTCGTTTCTTTTAGATGCCAGAAATATTGGGATAGAGATGTCTGATTTCTATTTTGAATATTGTTGAAGGAGCTCCATCTAATTTTAAAATTATTCTTCGTTGAGCCTATGTATATCCTATCAGTGTTATGACTCTCAATGGATGAGATAGTGCATTGGTATACCACAGATTTTGTGAGGCATTTATTTTCCAACGGGCAGTTTTTAGGGGGTGTGTGTGTGTGTGTGTGTGTGTGTGTGTGCACGCGCGTATATGTATGTGAATTACATGAAAATGAAACTCAAATGTACCACATTTTTATGGCTATTTCGCTGCTAGGAATAAATTCCCTGGAGCTTGTCAACACTAAGATGATGAATAAAAAAAATAAAGAAAAAGAAACACGGATTTTACCTCTGTGTATATATATATGTGTATATATATATATATATATATATATATATATATATATATATGTCTTCTTTAATTTCTGTTTTGTGACACGGTTACGCATTCTTTTGTTTTCTTTCTTTTTTCTTTCTTTCTTTACACAAACTAGCTTTCTTTATTTATTTCCGTATATGTTTTGGCTGCCTTTATTTCTTTATTTTCTTTCTTTCTCCTCGCATTTCTTTCTTTTTTTCCTTTTAAACATTCTTTTTTTTCTTTCTTTACTCATATTTACGTCATTTTTCTCTTTGTTCATTTTCTATTGTCAATTCTCTATTTCTTTTTCTTCTTCCTTTTTCTTCTTCCTTAACTTTTTCCCTTGCCATTGGAAACATGTCTTTGTTCTCCTTTGCAACCGACAAATAGGACAGTAGACATTGAAGAGATTTGTATTTGATCATATAATCAATTATATTGACATTTTTGTTCATTGTCTGTCGGTGTAAACGAGAACTTAATTCAGAGTATAGACCGATACGTCGCTCGCTAGATAAATAGAGGGCATAGAGTGTCCTTCCTTTGTGTGTATATAACTTACTAAAGAGAGTAATAAAAATGAAGAAAGATTTTGTCGTTCTATGGTCGGATATGTTTTAACGGTTGTGTTAGCAATTGACGTAGATTAATCACAGAATTATATATTGTATGAAGCGTAAAAGAAATTACGCAAACTATCTTGGAGTTAACCTTAAAATGTTTAATCAATTTCGGCCCACACAAATTTAAATGTTAAGTCTGAACTACGCACGCTCACTGATCATATCAATATTTTTATTCATATCTGCTTTCTTGAGTTAAAGCCAATTTCTTAATTAACTTAATTGCTTCATCGACACTTCTCTTTTCATTTAATCTATGGTTTTTCATTTGATTTTGGTTTTCTTTTCTGAATCCTTTCACTTTTTCGGCAGTTTTTTTCATTCGAGTTTTTTTCTATCATCTTCACCCAATTCAAATTTTCTTTTTGATTTTCGTTAAAATTTTCAAATTGATTTCGTTCATACTTCCGTCAAGATTTTAAAAATTGTCTTTTTGTTTTAACTTTTTGTTTTACTGAATTCTTTCTTTTTTCTCTCTCATTCTTTCTTTCCTTCTATTTCATTCTTTCTGTCTTTCTTCCTTCCTTCCTTTATTTCTCTATTTCTTTCTTTCAGTCTTTCTGTTTTATTTTTTCTTTCTTTCTTTCTTTCTTTCTTCCTTTTTTGTTTTTCTTTCATTCTTTCTTTCATTATATGTTTCTTTCTTTTTTTTCTCTCTCTCGTTCTTTCTTTCTTCCTCTTTGTTTTTCTTTCTTTCTATAATTCTTTCTTTCTTTTGTTTTTCTTTAATTCATTCTTTCTTTTTTCTTCTTTTTGTCTTTCCTACTTTTGTTTTTCTTTCTGTTTGTCTTTCATTCGGACGTGAAAATGATAGGATAGTTTGAATTCGGAGTTTCCTTTTTCTAGACTGCTTGACACAAAGGCTATAGAACACAGTCCGTCCTATTATTGTGTTTCATAGCTAGGGAGAATAGAAGGATTTAGACCTTTCCCAAGGGTATTAGCAAGTAAGTGAATATAATGAACTCGATAGGAATTCGAACTCAACTCTCCTACTCATCACTCCGAGCCGGTATCCATCACTCCACTGTGTCTTAAATCGGTAGATATTGACGAAAAGAGAAAGAAATTTTGAGGAAAATTCTCGGATGGTGGTAATCTGTTTTTTTTTTGTTTTTTTTTGTATTTTTTTACCTTGACATGAAAGTCAATAAACGTCATTATAAGGACTTAGGAAACACGATATTTTTTCAAAATAATTATACAAACATACACGTGACTGAGAGCTTACACACACACACACACACACACACACACACACACACACACACACACACACACACACACACACACACACACACACACACACACACACACACACACATATTATTATTATTATTATTAATTAAAGAATATAAAACACTTAAAATCCCATAGGTAATAAATTTTATTTCATGAGAGTTCTAAAAAAGCAGCTCTCAATCTTCAAGACTTAAGGACTAATGGATTTGTTTGTAGGTCTCGAATATTGAGAGCTGCTTTTTTTAGAACTCTCATGAAATAAAAATTATGACCTACGGGAATTTAATTTTTTTTCATATTCTTTAATTAATAAAAATTTTGGTCTGTGTTTTGACATATAGCTCTCCCTGGAGCTATATCCTCCTGGAAATTCCATACGGATTACCATATTGTATTATTATTATTAATATATATATATATTTTCTTAAAGCTTCGTCGCTCACATTCCCCCTCTCTGTGTAACGTTTTTGTCAGTTTTTCTATTATCATCTATCTCTATTCTCACTGCCTCTTTAACCATAACCCTTTTGTTGATCTCGTAATGTTTCGTCATATATATATATATATATATATATATATATATATATATATATATATATATATGTAGCACTCATTAAAATTATATTTCTTCATATATATATATCCATATATATATATAGCACATATTAAACTATGTCTTTATATATATATATATATATATATATATATATATATATATATATATATATATATATATATATATATATATATATATATTTGTGTATGTGTGTGTAAAATAGATAGGTTAATAAATCAAGGACAAAGGAAAGGGTACCAATATAATCAGTATGATAAACATTTATTAAATATTAATTATTAATCATATGACAGAAATGAAGCACGGAGAAAAGGATTTAATTTCGGAATTTTCGGACACGCCTGTGACCTTCCTGAACGGGTAGAGAAATAAAGAGAGAAATGTTGCTTCATTTCCGTCATATGGTTAATAATTAATAATTAATAAATGTTTATTGTACAGATTATATTAGTAGCCTTTCGTTTGTCCTTGTCTTATTAACTAACCTATCTATTTTACATATTATAAGAAACACACGTGGACACTTTCTTCTAAATATATATGCATACATACATACATACATACATACATATATATATATATAGACAATTATATAAATATATATATATATATATTAAGACAATTGTATGTTTAACATTCTTTTTATAGATACAAATATTTAAGTAAATGCTCTGTTTATAATAAACAGTATTAAACAACATTTACCGGCCTGAATGTCCGAGGCATTTTCACAGACAATATTCGTCCTCCGACAAGATTCGAACCCGTATCCTATACGGAACCGTCATTAGCTTGACGTGCCGTAACCGATTTGGCTACAGAGGAGCGTTCGGTTAGCAAGGTCGAATTTACTGTCTATAAACTTCAATCCTCCATGAATTTCTCACGTACATTCATGTCTGCTTATATCGTATCAAATGTAAACAAATGACGTCACACATTATGAAATGGACAAAGTCTGACAATTATTTTAAGACATTTTTATGTTTAACATTATTTTTATAGATACAAATATTTAAGTAAATGCTCTGATTATAATAAACAAATGACGGTTCAGTATAGGATACAGTATCTATAAAAAGTATATTTGTATCTATAAAAAGAATGTTAAACATAAAAATGTCTTTAAATAATTGTCGGATTTTATATATATATATATATATACCCCACGCCGACAGTAAGACGCTGAGCATATGTAGCAGTGCCTGTTTTATTCTCGCTGTTTCCTGATCATCCTTCCTTGATATTTTAATGAAATCAAGGAACTAGTGTCTAATATTATAATTTTTGTTTCTTTTTTTTGGAATCAGTGATATTTACAGTTTAATACGATTCGTCACAGATTTTAGACATCTTATTCTTAATTTCTGTCAGTGTCGTTTGAAGATTTGATTTTGAAAATAAATAAAAAAAAATCCATAAAAAATCAGATGATTAGGATAAGGAGGCAATCATCAAAATCTGGGGAAAAATTTTTTTTCTTTGATAAAAATCAAGTGGGTTTAGAGTAAAAGAAAAAAACAAATTTCGGAAAATAATTAAGTTTGAATGTTACTATTTCCCTGTTTTTCATAAGGTCAATGAAGTGACATCATTTTAGCAAATAAAATATAATCAAATATATAAAATTAATAATAAAATATGGGGCGTTTGACTCAGGAAGTATGAAATCTTGAGTTCATATAAAATAAATTATGGGAAAATAAAAAATAGCGAACTTTTAAATCTATAAATAAAAAAAACTTTGAACGTTGAACTGTTTAAAAAAATTAGTAAAAAAAAATGCGGGATGAGAATTTATTTCACTACTGTTGTTTTTGTTTTTGTTTGTTTCTCTCAATTACTTTGCATTTACATTTGATTTTATTACATATATCTTTCTGTCTATCCCAGTTTGTTCATATCTATCTATCTATCTATCTATCTATCTCAGTCTGTTCATTATCTATCTATCTATGTTGATATTTTTATGTGTATGTATGTATGTGCGTATGTATGTATCTATCTATCTATCTATCTATCTATCTATCTATCTATCTATTCAATGGCGTTCATATTTCTTGTTCATATCCATCTCTATCTCAATATTTTTATGTGTATGTTTGCATGTATGTATGTATGTATGTATGTATGTATCTATCTATCTATCTATCTATCTATCTCAATCTTTTCGTATCTATCAATCTATCTATCACTTTTTGGTTATATTATTTTATTTACATGTTTCACTAAGATGTAGTTTTTATGTTCTTTTATTTGTAGTAGTGTTTATTCCGAGCTTCCTGATGGAAATCAGGTTTTGGGGGGCTTTTTTTAAAAAAAAGTTTAAATATATATGTCTGGATATATGATAAAAGCATAGTTTCGAAGTATGCTATGTTTATGTGTTAAATGTTCGATATCAGGGATAGATCGTATGTAAATATAAAAATATATACTAAGGCCAACACCCAGCGAACGTCTGAAATAGCCTGATGATTGCGTTGATGCATGAGACAGATTCTCGCCGCTGGGTGTTGATTTCAATGTCCACATTTTAATATTGAGAATGGACAGAGAGTGTGCCTTTAAAAGGCACTGTCTTGACTTTCTTTGACTGGAAGTCCTATGTGGCCGAGCAGTTATGCGATTAATATCCAGTGAGTTTTCCCCATCGGGATAAGGTTTGAAACGTGCCGGCGGACGCATATATTTCTGACAAGATTTCTCAAATATTAAACAGTTTAAAATCAGGGCTTCTACTCGAATATGTGTGTACATAAAAAGTACCGTTTAAATTAAAAACAACCATATGTCGAATTTAACCCATTTCAATATACATAAACATACATACATACATACACACACGCACACACATACACACACACACACACACACATATATATATATATATATATATATATATATATATATATATATATATATATATATAGTAATTCATCGTGTCTAGAAGAATCGTCAACAGAATGCAGAAAGCACTGGAAGGTCGTTCCGTCCTCTTTTTGGGACTCATTAGCATTGCGCATTGACTACCGACTATCGAACCCGGACCGGTAGTGGATACGCTCTGCTGAAAGATATATATATATATATATATATATATATATATATATATATATATATATATATATATATATATATGATGGACTCTTCCGTCGCGTTCGACGTATGAGGTTCCGACGACCACGAACTAATTATCTGCATGCCTATGACGGGCCTGACTTTTGAGACCGGCTCGAAAATTGCACAAAAGACCACAGATAGTACATGTATCAGATGTCTTATTTTACTTTCTCACTTCATGTAGTCGATTGATGATTATTTCCCAGTGCAGCTATACCAATGTTATACTTGTTTTGCTGCAATCCGACCGTAGCTGTTTTTTTTTTCTTTCTGGTGCTGAGTTGTTGTTCTGGAGAATTCGTATATTCCAAATGCCAAGATGAAGTTGATGTTGTTTCGTAGAGTTTTTTTGCAGTAGCTGGATATACGTGGAACTAATTAGATATAGTTGTCAGAAAACCAACACAATGAACGACAGTCCTCATGTGTTATTATCGCCGAGTTTAACCTCTCTTGATCACAGTCGATACCAGCCAGACACATGCAATATAATGACCGGGTTAAGCTGTCGTGAATATTCCTTGGCATCTGAAGTCATTTTTATCGTGAACCCAACACTAAAAGGATTACTAGCCAAGGCTCAGAGAGACTCCTTTCACACTCACCAACGTCAGCTAGCCCTCGCCAGTTCTCAACCTATACTTTATGAAGCTCCTCGGGATATTTATATTTTACACACTGGATGTCGGAGTAAACAGATCGTCATATATAAACACTATCCTCTAAAGAGTTTAAGATCACTTGCAACATCATGTGTCGAAGTTGATTTTTATGTTTAATTTTTGGAATATAGATAGTTTGGGTTAAAATTACATGAAATAACATATTACACAAGTGTTGGATGCATTCGATATGAAATGACATTCCTAGAAACTAGAATCACTTAAGAATTCAAATCAAGGAATAAAAAACCGAGCTGAGGACATTTACACCATAAAAGCAAGTGAGGCGTAAAAAATTGTAATTTTGTTTTTATTCTATAAATTGTCATGTTTTTTTCTTTGATTTGAATTCTTAAGCGTTTCTAGTTTCGTTGCACTGTTTTATTCAAATTAAGCAGTGACCAAGACTGGCCACTGCTAATCGAAATATTTACATAAAATACGTTGGAACTACAAGTTTTTTCTTTTAATTATGCAACTACATGCGGAGACAAGCATTCTAACTTTGAGAACGGTGAATAAGTTAAAAAAAGAGAAAATAGTAGAAAGGAAAATTGGAAAAGGGGTCTCAGAACAGGGAGAGAGGGGTCATCATTTCAATTAGAGAAGATCCAACTCAATCCATAAAACGGTTGACATGTGAGAAAGGAGTTTCAGCTATGACAGTCTACGAAACAATGACAAAAGTTTTGAAAATGAAATCGTACATGAAACCTGTGAGGTACTTTCTTACTCCAAGAGAGAGATTTAGAAGGTTAGAGAGGGCAAAGTTAATCTTGAATAAGTTGGAAAATAAACTTAATTTCAATCCTTCGTGGGCTTCCGATTCCTACCTATGAATAATTAATGATGAACATATCATTTTCGTTTATGATCGATTTCATCACGATTCTTCTACTTAGCTTGGGCAGTAATTATACATTCTTATTGCTCAAAGTAAAGTCCAGTAGTGTTACAAAAACTTCGGAAATTCCAGTAAGATATATTTAATCATTTCTAAGATGCAACGATTCATAGCTTAATCTAACAAATGGACAATTTTGCTTTTATTCGATGTGGGCAATTTTGCTGTTATACTCGGTATATATATATATATATATATATATATATATATATATATATATAAATTCAAGAATTATTCATACAAAAAACAAATATAGAGGTTAATGATTTAAATGGCGAGAATACATCTTCGCAAACAATATAAATAAGATACACCAACCCCGAACCTGTATATGAATGATATAATCCCTGTTCATAAATTCCAGTTGCATGAGGTCTTTTAATTTTTACAAGCTTTCATCTGTTCCTACAGACATCCTCAGGTATGGAAATAGATTTTGTTCTTGTTTTTACTTCTCGGTAATAAGAGGACAATGAAAATAGAGATGTAATCCGAAAAAAAAATGCTATGAGAAATGTGTTATTGTTTTGGAACGTGCGGTCTCAACGCTCAGTTTGAATTTAAATTTTATGCTTGTGCGTTTTTGTACCAAAGAGAATTTTTTTTTACTGGTAGATTTTCCGTCTATGTGGCATGAACCATATTGTTCAATAATTACAGTAATATCACGCTTATTATCCGAAAGTTGCACGTTGGATCAGTTATTTTAATTACAATTAAAGGTGCAAATTATAATTTATAAATTCATGAACAGACGAAAGCTTGTAAAAATCAAAAGACCTGGAATTTGTGTACAGGGATCATATCATTCATATACAAGTTCGGGGTTGATGTATCTTATTTATATTGTTTGCGAAGATGTATTCTCGCCATTTAAACCATTAACCTCTATATGTGCTTTTTGTATGAATGATTCATGAATTTATAAATTATAATTTGCACCTTTAATTGAAATTAATATATATATATATATATATATATATATATATATATATATATACATTAAAATGAGGAAATTTCCGAAACTCTTCCATCCGTTGTTAAAGTGATGATGATATTCCTCCAGCCATTTTACTAATCGTTTCGCTAATGCTTAAGCAGTGACTAAAATATAATACTTTGATGATTCATAATGCCCAAAAGCCGTTGTTTTTGCGTCTATTTTCGACAGATTCATGCTGTTCACGGTCTCGTCGAGCTCAGACCTCGATTCCTTTGCGTGATAAAAGAAGAGATTACATTTCTCATCGCAAAAACATTGCTTTTTGTTTTCTATTTTCCTTTTTTTAGAGTGGTGTGGAGGCACTGCACTCCTTCTTTCCCTAAATTCTGTAGGAGCTTTTCTTTTTCATGTTTGCTATCAACACTGTGTCATCAGCATACCATAGACTGTACCTATGAGCAACATCGAGGTTTTGAAGCAAAACGGAAACCAAAGGGAAACAGCAGAAAGAGGCAGTTGAAATTTCTGGGGCACGTAACGAGGAAGGAGTGCTTGGAAGATCAAATACTCACAGGACCGATTGAGGGAAAGAGAGACAGAGGAAAGCTGTGCGTAACATATTTGATGAGCGTGTGTAAATGGGTTGTAGAACAGCATTTGGGAGAAATAACAAAAAGACGAAACTTAATAAAACCTACAAGAGACAGGAAGATGTGGAGGGCCATGATCGTCTACGTCCTGAATGGACGCAATGCATAAAAGAAGAAAATACTTAACATGAGGGAGAGGCAGTTGAAATTACTGGAGCACGTAATGAGGAAAGAGAGCTTGGAGAACCTGATACTCAGCAGACAGATTAATGGAAAGAAGGATAGAGGAAAGTAGGTGTATCGCGTATGAAACATAACAGATTGATTGATCTTTAAATAGTGCTGAACTGGTAAGTGGGTGGCAAGGATGAGAAAAAAAAACCCCAAAAGACGAAAAAGATTAAGAGAAACAAATAAGACAAAGAAAAGGACAAAACAACAAATAAAAAAAGAAAGGCGATGGAAAGAAAAAGAAGAAATAGAATGAAACACCTTAAGAAAAGAAAAATAGAAAAAAAAAATTTCTGTTTAAATGCTTAAAAGACTTGTACTTCGAAAGAGCATCAAATATGTCCGGAGGCATTCGAGATAATACTTGTGTCGTGTGCTCTCACAGCTTTCAAAATTAACCCTCGCTAAAAGAAACAAAGAATGTAGTCCTGTGTCGGTACTGTTCGCGATCAACAAATAACCGCTTAATCATTTAAATGCCCGGAAATTTTTCTTCTTAATTTTCATGTCGTTTAAACCGCTCGAGTTTTATTCTTCCCTTCAGACAGTCATTACACGCAACAGTCTAATGTGGTCTGCCGAACAGGCAGACCACCGTCAAAAATAAAGCAATCAGTTGGTCTGTGGAATGGTAAGCGACACAGACACTCGAATGAATGATGAATGGAATCAACAAACCTAACACTGTTTTTTCAATTAATTTTTTCATAATATATTCTTTCCCAGTACGACAAAAGCTATTTTAATGGCTGTTCGTATTTTTGTTGACATGCTGCTTTCGTTATTTTATTTTTTGAAACAAGTATGCAAATGACACAGTGTTGATAGCAGACACGGAAAGAAAATTACAAAAGCTCCAACAGGAGGTACTAATGGAAAGCAAGAAGAAAGGACTAAACATAAACTGCAAGAAGACAGAGTGTATGGTTGTTATCAAAAGGATGAACTGAAAATGCAAAAATTTGAATATCTGGAAAGTATGACATTAAAGAGACACAAAGACTTCGTTAGAAACAAAGAAAAGACTATTGAGCTGTTACGAGATATCTGTCTTCCTATATGGCAGTGAATTCTGGACAATCTCCTCAAAGTTGAAAAAGACTTAAAGTAACAGAAATGTAGTTCAACAGAAGGATATCACAGATCGAACATGTAAGCAACGCGGAGGTTTTAGAGAAAATGAAAACAGAAAGGAAAGTTATACTTAAAATCAGTAAGAGAGTTATATCTGGGGTACAGAATGAAGAATAAGGTCTTGGAGAATATGATACTCACAAGCAACATTGAGGCCAAGATGGAGAGAGGAAAGTATACTTAATTAGCTTAGGTAAATGGATGGCGGAACAGGTTTTAGTAGAAATAACGAAAAGAAAACTGAATAAAAACAACAAAGAAAAGGAAATTGTGAAGAGCCATGACCGCCTACGTCCACGGCATATAGAAGAAGAAATTAATACTATCCTAAAATTCTAGCAAAAGAAAAAAAGAATCGAACCTGTATTTTCTTTTTTCCGACAAGGAAACCACTCCTCTTGCCGAAACGTACCGTATCAGTTTGGACACGTGGGACCTTCAAGATTGAGCAAGAGTTCATTAACTCTTTAGCAAATGAATATTTCTTCTTGGAACTTCTTCTAATTTATATGTTTCGACTGACATGTGGGTATGTGTAGGTAGTGAATTTATGACCATAACAAACAATAAAGGTAAAGAAAGTCATAGGCGGTCCATGTAATGTCGTTATAGTTTAAATGGGATCCAATTAATTCGAAACGCAATAGATTTTGCAAATTTCGTCACTTTGTGGCAGCAGCAACAACCTGTTTTGCGAAAAAATTATTCGGAATTTAGAAAAACATGTGGGTTAAACTTAATAGACATAAAATGATTAGAGTCCGCAATAAAATGTGTTTAAAAGAATAATCGTTGCCTATATATATATATATATATATATATATATATATATGAAGAAATATAATCTTAAGATGTGCTTATGGGATAAAGTGTTTATGTGTTTATGGGATAAAGTGCTCAATATCAGAGATAGAGTGTGTGTAAATATAAAAGTGAAAATAGAAGTCAACACTTAGATTTAACAGTCTGTTTCATGCTAGATGCAATCGTCAGGCCACGACGATTGCATCTAGCATGAAACAGACTGTCGCCCTAAGTGTTGACTTCTATGTTCACTTTATATATATATATATATATATATATATATATATATATATATATATATATATATAGAGAGAGAGAGAGAGAGAGAGAGAGAGAGAACTGGCTGAGATAAATAAGATAGATATGAAAAGATTTAGATAGTGAGGTATAGACAGAGTGAGATAGATAGATAGATAGATAGATAGATAGATAGATAGATAGATATGAACTGATTGCAATAGGGATGTCTGTATATACGGAGATTGATAGAATTTGTCAGGGGAATATTCATATAGGTATATAGATAAATACGAAAATATTTTACAACTTCAGAATTGGCTAGACCCAAGGACCTTTAAGCACCTCTGGATATTTCTTCAATAAAATCAAATGAAGAATTTATTAGGAATCCCTGTAAAAGAGACGGCGTTCAGCCGAAACTGATTCAAAACGACCATCTTATACATCTGTGTGCGATTACATTCGCGGAAATATATGCCTTTCTCTCTGTGCTGTTAGCGAATGCCGGAAGTCGTGTGCAATGTTGAATGCAGACTCCACATTTCTACTCTTTCTTATTCGTCGTCTAAGCATATAAGGAGCGAAATAATAATAGATCCAATTTCTTTTTTAATCTCAATTTCCAGTTGTTATTCTCGGCGTTCGGGTCTGATTTTCTTTCACTATTCTTGTCTTTCAACTCATTTTTATTCGCTAATATCGTCATCTTTATTTCTTTTTAAAGAAATAAAGAAATCTTTTAAAAATTTCTCTCCTTGATTTTTTGACGTTTCATAACATTTCTCTGTCTCCTTTTTTCTTGTCTTTTCTTCTGTTTAACACGTGTTTTATCTTTTGACTGCTTTTCTGCTTTTCTCACTTAGATATTCTTCTTTCGTTTATCATTCTGTCTTCCTTCCTTTCTTTTTTTTACCTTTCTTTCTTTCTTTTTTTCTCATATATATTTATTTACCCTTTTCTTTTGCATACAAATGTCTTTCTTTCTTTTACTTGATTCATTGTTTTCCTTTTTTGCATTGTTCTTTTTTCGCTGTTACATATTTCTTCATTTTTTCTGTCTTTGTTTCTTTGTTTCTGTCTTTCTTTCTTTCTTTCTTTCTTTCTTTCTTTCTTTCTTTCTTTCTTTCACTCCTATGTATTTATCCTTTTTTGTTGTATATAAATATCTTTCTCTCTTTTTAATTCATTAATTTTTTTCTTTGTTCCATCTTCCTTTTTTAGCTGTTACACATTTTTCTTTCTTTCCTTCTTTCTTTCTCTCTTTCTTTCTTTCTTTCGTTTGGATTTCTCTCTTTCTTTCTATCTTTCTTTTCATTCATTAATTCACTCATCCTTGGTAACGCATATCTTCTTGGATACATAAAAGCATTGGAATCAGGGGGAACTGGTAAACTACTTTACCAATATTTCAATGAGAAATTTCTGACGCACTACATTCCTTAGTTCCATCAATTCAGACCTTCACAGCTGGGGCCCAACATGTCATATACACAGGATCGAAGCATTATCATTCGCTTCGTATTCCATTGGTAAGGACGAAGTACCATTCGGATAGCTGATTTCTCGGAACATTGGGGAAGGATTCCCTTGATGATGCCCCCCCAGATCACAATTTAAACCTCTTCAAACCTAGTGTCAAACTTTATGTATCTTATATATCCCCCCAAATTGTACTTCTCCTTTTAAATAAAACAACCCCATTCAGTAACTCTATAATTTTCTTTTGCTCTTCGACCTTATATTTGTGAAAAGAGCTTTGTGGAAGAGACTCTGTCAAGGATTATTGGCCAATTCCTACAATTTTTACATACTTGGCTTTTAACATTCTGGGGTGATTTTGTTTGCAAAAGCAAAATTTTCATCCTTCCACTGCAAATGACTCATATGAATGAATGATAGTGTGTTTTACTTCTGTAGTTGTGTTGTCATATCCTGCTAAGGCAACAGAAAATGATCATAGCTGAAATGAAGTAGCGAAGTAGTGAATAATGTAGTATGTTAAAGGTTAAAAAGGAGGGGGTACTCCAAAAGCTTCCTCTCGAGAACCACCATCTCAGTTTCCCGCGTGAATGGTTCCCCGAATTCTGCAACATTAATCTCTTCAGGCGTACATTCGATCATTTTTTTTTATTCCCCATATCATCGTTTTTTCTCATTTTTCAACAATTTTGTGAACATTACCAGCACATAGAGTCGTTACTTAAACCCTGAACACAAGTAACACGTGATCTGTTCTATTTAAACTGTGTGATCCTTGCTTTTTTCTGTGCTTCTCTCAGAGACGCAACGCTCTAAGCCTATTGCTAATCCATCGTTATTTCTGTGGCAATCTTTCTCACACCAGCTACGTTCTTTAGCGATATCAGCTCCGACTTAATCCCGGTTTTGCTAAGTCCACAAAAATGAATCACAGCCATTACCTATGTATTCCTTTGTTAACCTTTTGCATTCTGGAGTTGATTTTGTGTCCAAAGCAAAAGTTTTATCCTGCCATTGCAAGTGACTCAGATGACTGAATGATATCGAGTTCGGATTTTGAAATTGTGTTGTCGTATCCTGCTATGGTAACAGAAAATGACTATATCTGAATTTAGTGTGTTGAAAAACAATGCAGTGGAAAGCAAAGTAGTGAATAATGTAGTGTTTTAACTGTTAAATATACTGTCAATCGTTATCTATCTTACTTATCCTCATAATTTACACTTATCATCTAGTCCTCCTACATAAAAAAGTCCTTCAGAAACCCGCCGGCTTGAGTGGTTGTTGGGCATTTTAATGGGTGGAAAAGATCTTTAATTATAAACGAATTTATGTGGTTGTATGGCAGAACAATGTCAAAGAGTGATGGCAAAGTGTCAAAAGTTACAGCAAAAATAGGAAGTTGTGAAGAGCCATGATTCACAAAAAAAAAGAAACAAAAAAAAAACAACTCTTGTCCATTAATATTTCCTAATATTTCCTGTCTGTCCTTTCGTGTGTATGAGACACTCCTGTAATTTTAGCCAAACTTGATCTACATAGACATAACGTTTTGGAATCAGGATGATGTGGGGATTAAAAAATCTGCTCTTCATCTGTTGCTTGAATATTCAACATTGGAATTCGGGTCCGGATGAGAAGAGAACTGGTAAAAATTCAAATTTTAAAATAGATGAAAAAAAATTAGTGATTTTAAAAGATTTTAATTTATTTTGAGTTTAAAGTAATAGAAGAACATTATGAAATTAAATTATTTTATTTTAAATTCAGTTGAAAATATCTCCAATACTTTGTGAATTGTGGCAACCAATTTTATTTCTTCAAAATGTCAAGGAATCAGAGTTAAATGTAGAGGTTTTGTGACATGACGTTTTGAATTTCAGTAGTGTTTGCAATTTGAAGAACTCAACTCAATTGAAGTTCCGCGGAGTTTGAAGAACTCAGTTTTCGGCCAAAATCGGACTTTCGATACAAATCTGAGTTTCGGTTCCAAAAGTTCATTTGGCCGGAAATAGACTTATAGCCCGAATCAGAGTTAAATTGAGGTTTTGAAATTCCATGGAGGGAATTGAGTAAACCAAAGGTATTTCTCAAAATTATCATTGGTCTTTTCTAAGATAAACCAGAGATGACTTTCGTTTTGAGCCGGAGACTCACAGAGGAATGAAAAGAAGAAAATGAAGAAAAATAATGCAGGACGAAGAAAAAGAGACAAAGAAAATGGAGTAGAAGAAAAATTAGTGTCTAGAATGAAGAAAATAGAAAGGGAGGAATCATGAAGAAAAAGAAGGAGAAAATGAAGAAAAAAGACGAAGTAAAATTTAAGGAAGTTGGAAAGAAAGAAAACAAAAATGAAGAAGGAAAAGAAAAGGCGAAAGGAAAAGAAAGAACGTAAAAGAACAATTAGGAAAGATAAGAAAAAAAGAAAACGAAACTTCTTCATTGTCCTTTTTCGTTTGACTTCTCCACTTTTCTGAGTGAAGATGTCAAACGAAGAAAGACAGTGGAAAAGGAAAACGAAAGAAAAAATACTGAAGAAAGTGATAGAAGAAGTAATTACACAAAAAGAAAGAACGAAAGAAAAAATGAAAAAGTAAAAAAAAATATGAAGTAAGTGAACGGGTGAAGATTTCGAAGGAGAAAAAGAAAGAAAGAATGAACGAAAAATGCTGAAGAAGGTAAAAGAAGAACTAAAATGCAATAGTGAGAAAGAAAGAAAGAAAGAAAAAAGCCAAAGAAGAAAAAGAAGGACGTTAATGGGTGAAGGAGGAAAAGAAAGAACGGGATGAGATGAGTATTAGTGGAATGATAAATGAAACAGAACCATCGCAAGAAGGCAGGATGTTTAATGGCAATCGAATAAGAAATGAAACCAACACGACAGGCATTATGCGAGGGTGAAATACACTAGTGATTCGATACCCAAATGCCTCGTTCTCTTAGGATTGCCATTGGCCTTGGCTGTCAATCTGCGATGTAAGCGTTCAGCGATTTTGTGTTTCTCTTTTGCCTGCAGCGAGTGGGCCTGGTTTTGTGAAAGCCAAATGAAAACAGACGCCATGAAACAATTATATTGCAATTGAGTAAATCTAACGGCTTTATTTCATTAGGGAGGAAGCAATGGAAAAATGAAAAGAAATGTGGACTCAGAGACAAGTAGAGTAGGAAATTCGATTACTACATTATTAGAGGAAAACGCCAAAAAGAAAAAAAGGAAAAAGGAAAGGGAACAATGAAAAAAGAAACAAGAAAAGACGAAAAGAGAACAATGAAGAAGAAGAAGAAGAAGAAGAAGAAGAAGAAGAAGAAGAAGAAGAAGAAGAAACACAGGGAGAAATAAAAGGAAAGAGAAGAAAGGGAAATTAAAAAGAAATGATAAAGGGGAAAAAGCGCAAAGAAAATAAGAAGAAAGGTATATAAAAAAGGAAAAAAAGAAAGAAAGCAATGAAAAATAAAACGAAAATGAAAACTGATGAAGAAGAAGGAAGAAGAAGAAATAGGAAATGGAAAAAGAGGGATAAAAAAGGAGATATGATAAATGGAGAAAAATGAAGAAGAAAAGACAAAAAGAAAATAAGAAGAAAAAATGGAAAAAAAAACGGACAAGAAAAAAAGAAGAAAATTAAAGCGAAACTTAAGACGAAAATGAAAATAACACAAAGAAAAAGAAAATGAAGAAAAGAGAACAAAAATTAAGGGCTGAAAATGAAAGAGCCAGGAAACAGAAAAAATGAAGGGACATAATGAAGGAGATTAAGAGCTAAAAGACAATGAAAAAGAAAAAGGAAGAAATAATGAGAACAATACAATGAAAAAGAGAAACGAAGAATAAAAAGTTATGAAAGAAAGAAATGAGAAAACAAAAATCAAAAAAAAAAAAGGAAAGGGAAGAAGAACGAGAAAAAGAGGAAACGAAAACAAAGAAAAATTAGGAAGAAGTAAGATTGAAAGAGAAAAAGAAAACATAGAGTAAAGAAAGAAAAGACAAAGAAAGAATAACGAAGAATAAGAAAGTGAAGAAAAAAGAAAAAAGAAAGAGAAATATGTAAACGAAAAATGATGAAATAGAATAAAGAAAAGAAAAGAAAAATAGATGAAAAGAAAAGAGAAAAGAAGGCTGAATAGATAGAAAAGAGAAAAAAAGGTTGGAAGATAATTGAAGATGTCGAAGGAAGAAAATTAATGAAAGAAAAAAGTATCACACGCGAGGTAAATGAAAGAAAACAAATCGAGACGAACAGGTGGTGATTAGAAACCCGCTCCTCGCCAAATATAGTAATGATTATAACGATGTTTGGCAATCGCAAATAAGAAGTGAGACAATAAGATACTAAAAAAGAAAGAAGATAAAATGCCAGAAAGAAAAAAACAAAAAGAAAAAGAAGTTATTAACCAACGAAGAATAACATAAGAAAAGTCTTTGAGAATGGGAATATAATCAGCGACATTATAGAATGGAAAATAAGAACAACGTGTTCAAAAGAGCTGTCATTCGATACGCTAGTTGGTTTTGGTGACATGCAATAGATTTGGCAAATTGTCACTTAAAGAAGTACAAAGTAACTAATATGAGTTGAATATTGAGGGAAATTATATGTGTGGGCGATTGGAGAATGGCTTTGGTTTGGCTGGGCAGGAAAAGGAATTAATAAAACAAGATATCCCTTTAGGACAGAATATAGAAAGTGAAAGTGAAAGTGAAAGAAGATATTTAGAAGAACATGAAGTTGGGAAATTACAAGGGAAAAGAAGACGTAATGAAAAACGTGTAAGTGAATCAAAAAGGATAGGCGAGAGAGAGAGAGAGAGAGAGAGAGAGAGAGAGAGATAGATAGATAGAGAGAGAGAGAGAGAGAGAGAGATGGGGCAAAGATATATACGCATCATAAATGACAGAATAAAGTGTTAAAAAGACGGCGAAAGAAACGAATAGTAAAAGAAAAAATAAATAATCGAATGAAGTGGTATTGAAAGGGAATTATATAAAACTTAAGTAAAAATAAGTAAAACAAAAGATAAAATGAAATTAGAAATGGATACAAATAAGAAAAAAAGAAGCAAAATAGTAGGCCAGACTGGTTTTGGTCAGTAATCAGTCTCCCATGAAAAGTAACAGCAGCTTACAGCGGGAAATATTTATTACCTCGAATTTAAGCAAAGTTCTAGATTTTTACAGCTTAATTTGCTAGATGTCACCGTAAGTTCTATTCTAATAGTTTCTTCTCTTGCACTTCTCGCGTTCTTCTCGATTCTGGTTTTCCAGTCAACTTCAAAAAAATTAAATGCAGTGTCATTTGTCATCTTCTGTCTACTTTTTTTTAATGATTCCTTGTGAATCCTCGTTGACATTTGTGATGTTGGATGGCTTCGTTTGTCACTTTTGTCATTTCAAACGAAAGTTCGTTATCACTCCAAAAAATGCTCCTTGTGGATGAAACTTGTAAACACCGGAAGTAGTAGTAACGCCTCCCAATAATATCCGCACTAGTAATACTTGTTCAAGTAGTAATTGCCAAATAGTATAATGATCAGATGAGAATCGTAATCCGTATATTACTAGAGTAGAGAGAGTGAACGTATAGCAATTCTGGAAAGACAAGAAGGAGTGAAAAGTGATCATCACGCTACTTCGTATTTATTCACATTATTTATGATCACGTGATCCACTTAATAATGAAATCGACCGTGTTACTGGCGATCTTGTTTCAAATCACAGTGTTAGCACCAATACTTACTCTTATACAACATGGATGATGCCTGTTCTTTCATTGTGCTAAGAGTTTAATGTTTTCTATTCCCAGACTTTTTCAAACTCAGTGATCCCTTGCGTCTTAGTGGCTTTATTCGCTTGCTTGGGCTGAAATATCAGCTGAGAATAAAGAAAAACATGATCGCCTAAGCGTGCATCACGCAGGGCAACTAAAGAGAGAAAGGAAGTAATATGAGTGAGACGAAAAGGTGGAGACAAATGAAAGATTGAAAAGCGGGAATAATTAAAGCGACATTGCGATTAAAAAGAAGAATAAGCAAAGGAAAAAGAAAAGAAATTAAGGTAAAGAAAAAGGAAAAAAGAAAGATAGGCAAAAAAAGAGAAAGCAAAGAATGAGTAAAAAAAAAAAAGAAGGAAACAAGAAGACCTTAAGGAAAATGGCAACCACCAAACTGAATAAAATATAAGAGTAATAATTTTAGCCGCAGAAGAGAAAAATGTCGACCACCAAAATTTGATGAATGACACTTCTGAGGCAGGTGTACATTGAAATGTGCGATAATAGGAAAACTTGTGTTCAATTATATCGCCATTTGTTTTGATGGAACGAAAACATGGAGATTGTTGCATTATTTAAAGAAATAAAGAAGAAGAAGAAGAAGAAGAAACAGAGGAGGAGGAGAGTAAATAGAAGAACTATGAAAGCAATAAAAATTAATAATTAAAAGGAGAAAAGGAAAGTAAACTGTAAAAGAAAACAATGAAGAAAAAATGAAATTATGACGGCTTCCTTGATATGAGAATTGTATAAAGAATAACGGAGAGAAATAAAGGAAGAAAGGAAGAAAGAATGGTGAAAGAAAGAAAGAAAAAGACAAAGGAAAGAAAAAGCAGAGGGGAAATAGAGAAAGAAAGAAGAAATAAGCGTGAAAAAAACAATGGAAGAAAGGTGAAAAATCAGAAAGAAAGAAAGAACATAGGAAAATGAAAGAAAGAAAGAAAAACAGACAGAAATAAAAAAAAGAACAGCGAAAGAAGACTGAACCAAGAAATGAAAGAAAAAGAAAAGAAAAGAATGAAACTAGAAACATGTTTAAGTAGGAAAAAAGAAACAAGCAAGACAAGAAGCAAGCATGAAAGAATGAAAGATAGAAAAATCACGGAAGAAAAAATAAAAGAAAGACAGAGAGAATTAAAAAAGAAAGGGTAAAAAAGAAAGCAAGCAAAAAAAAAAAGAAAGAAAGAAATAAAGGAAGGAAGGAAGAAAAGAAGGAAGAAAGACAGAGAGACAGAAATGAAAAATAAAGAGGAAAAAAGGTAAGAGGGGTAAGAAAGGAAGAAACAAAACGAGAGAAAGGTGAAAGAATGAAAGGAAGCAAGCAAGCAAGAAAAAAAGAAAGAAAGAAAGAAAGAAGGGTGAAAGCAACAACGAAAAGAAAGCTGAAAAATAGAAAGAAAGAAAGAGAAAAAGAGAGGGAAAGAAAGAAAAAAGACTGAGGAAAGAAAGAAAGAAAACTGAGAAAAGCAGAAAGAAAGAAAGAAAGAAATTTCAACGAAAAAAGAAAGAACTAATGAAAGACGAAAGTATAAGGAAAGTTTAAAAATTACTTGTTTATTTTTTGGGTACAAAGCTGAAGTTAATTGATATAGATCTGTAGAATTCCCAACGAGAATGACGTGTTTTCTTTAATAGGTAATATTAACATGGTCCTGTCAGGTAAGGGCACACTTTGAACGACAAGTAGTCACCATTTAAAAAATTACAGTTGTGTACGTTATCTGTACAAAACTGGAGCAATGTGATAGAGATTTGTAGAAATCCCTAGGAGAAAAAAAAACCCTGCTTTCCTGAGACAGGTAATTTAAAATTTGCTCTGTCAGGCTGTCTCACTGGTATTCTGGTTAGACTGGTTCAGGCACACTTTGCCTCAAAAAGGGATGTTTTAATGGGACTTCTCAGTTTACAACAATTGTTAAATAATTCACTGTTTAAAAAATAAAAGGAATACAGGTGTAACCAC